CAAATGATTCAACTGAAGCTTGGACAACTCAAATGGACAATCCAGAGGTAAACCAGGTAAAGAGGTATAATCACAAGATGACTTGCGAAAATTTTAACGAAATTAATTGGCTTTTGGATAGTGGCTCAACTGATCACATTATTAATGATGATAAATATTTTGAAAACTGCGTAGATTTGAAAAATCCTGTCGATGTAAAGCTACCAGATGGTAAAAAATTAAAAGCAACTAAACTGGGTAATGTGAATACATATTTCAGAACTTACCGTAATGAAAAACTAGTTGAATTAAGAAATGTTTATTATGTAAAAGACATTAAACAAAATCTTTTGAGCTTATCCAAAATAACTAAAACCTGTACAATAGTAGCTAGGTTTGAGAATGCTAAAATTTATAATCAATCCAGAGAATTGATAGCGGTTGCGAATAAGATAGATAATTTGTATTTTATGAAGAGTTTCGCATATGAAAATGATAGTAATGAAATATATGTGAATGCGTCAAAGTTAACTGCTAAAGAGAAATGGCACAGGGCACTTGGTCACGTGAACTTTCAATATTTGAAAAATTTAGTAAATAACAAACTTTTAGACGGCTTGCCAGATAAAATCGAGAATACAGAAATGAAATGTGCAAACTGTATAGAGAGTAAGATGGCAAATGTACCTTTTGATAACAATAGAACTCAGACTACCGAAATTCTAGAGCTTATACATACAGACTTAAATGGTCCACACAACACAACTGGTTATGGTGGGGAAAAATATTTTTTAACGTTTATAGATGATTATAGCAAGTGTACGAAAATTTTTTGTATAAAAAGTAAAGCAGAAACAACTAATTGTTTTATTGAATACGTAAACTTGGTTGAGAATAAGTTCAATAAAAAAATAAAGAAAATACAATGTGATAATGGGAAGGAATACTTAAATCGCGAAATCTGTAATTTTATTAGACAAAAGGGTATTGAATTAATGCCATGCCCACCCTATGTTCATGAGTTAAATGGAGTAGCTGAGAGGTACAACAGGTCAGCCATGGACATAGGGAGGTGCTTACTAAAAGAAGCAAGAATTCATAGAAGGTACTGGCCTGAAATAATGAAAACCGTAGCATATTTAAAAAATCGTACAATTGCGAACACAGTGGAGAATAAAACTCCGTATGAAATATTTTTTGGCATAAAACCTAATGTAAAACATCTAAAAATATATGGGAGTAGAGTTTTCGTGAGGGTCCCGGAAGCAAGAAGGAAAACCAAATGGGATGACAAAGCTGCGCTGGGTGTACTAGTAGGCTATGTTGAGAATGGCTATAAAGTTTTGGTAAACAATAGGGTAATTATTGCCAGACACGTAAAAGTAATTGAAGAAGGTACAAGACTAATTTGCTTGGAAGAAGTTGATGAGCAAAAAGATAGAGTTTTTGAAACTACTACAACAGAAGCACATGAAAGTGAAATAGATGACAGTGACTGTTATGAAAATGAAACCACTGAAAATGATGTAGAAAATTGTAAAATCAATCTTGAAAATAATATTCAAGATAGTGACGATTTAAGCAACGGTAAAGTTAATGATGATCTTTTGAATGAGTTACATAACAAAAGTAAATCCAATTCAAACCTAAGAAGAACATCAACCAGGGAAAAACGCCCAGTAAATAGATTTGGTAATCCAATATCTCATGTTGTTTACGTAAACTACACTGATGCAAATGTACCAAGCACGTTTGAGGAGGCGATGAACTCTAATGAATCAAAGGAATGGAAAGCAGCAATGGATTCTGAAATACAAAGCTTAAAGAAAAACAACACATGGCAAATTGTCGATAGGCCAAAAGATAAAAAGGTTATAGATGTAAAATGGGTCTACAAAAGGAAAAACAATAATACCTATAAAGCTAGATTAGTCGTGAGAGGCTTCCAACAAAAAGAATTTATTGAGAATGTCTATTCACCGGTAGGCAAGATGCAAACATTAAAAATTTTATTGTCTTACAGTTGCAAAAATAATCTGTTCATAGATCAAATGGACGTTGATGCGGCTTTCTTAAACGGTCATGTAAAATCAGAAGTGTATATTCATGAGCCTCAAGCTTATGAAACTGGCGAGAATAAAGTCTGTAAATTGAAAAAGGCGTTATATGGGCTCCGAGAAAGTCCTCGAGCGTGGTATGATTGTTTTAATAAATTTGTTGAAAAATTAAAGTTTGTACGAAGCAACTATGATAATTGTTTGTATGTCAATAGTACAAGCAAGGATTCAATATATCTATTAGTTTTTGTAGACGATCTTCTAATTTGTTCCAAAGACAAAGGAAAAATAAATGAAGTAAAGGCAAGTTTAATGAGAAGATTTTCAATGAAAGATCTTGGTAAAATCAACAGTTACATTGGCATCGATATAGATTACAATAATGAAAGAAATAAAATGACGTTATGTCAAACAAAATATATTGAATCGTTGGTTGTCAAATATAATCTCGAAAACGCAAAATTGTATGATACGCCGATGGAAACGAACCTAAAGCTGGAACAAGCGAGTGAAGTCGATGAAAGGATAAAGTACAGAAATTTGATCGGTGAATTATTATACATAAGTACTGGCACAAGACCAGATATAGCGTATAGTGTTAACTACCTAAGTCGTTATCAGAGCTGTTTTGACAAAACACATTACAAATATGCGATAAGAATTTTAAAGTATTTGTATAAAACGAAAGACTTGAAATTAACTTATTATGACAATATAAACAGCGATACACTCGATTGTATGGTAGATTCTGACTACGCAGGTGATACCGTGGACAGAAAGTCCACCACAGGTTTCATAATTAGATTATTCGGAAATTTAATCTTTTGGAGAACACATAAACAGAATACTGTGACTAAATGTTCAACTTTTGCAGAATACATTGCAATGTCTGAGGCAGTAACTGAAATACTATTTATTAGAAATATGTTAGTTGAATCTTTCAGTCTAGATTTTAATAAAGGAATAAAAATGTACGAAGACAATTCAGGTGCAGTTGCAATTGCCAAATATGGAAACTTTACAAAGAATTCAAAGCACATTGAAGTACAATATCATTATATAAATGAACATTATGAAAATGGAATAATCGACATTGTAAAAATAGACTCAAAACAAAATTTAGCAGATTTGTTAACCAAGAGTGTGGATAAATCTAAATTTTTAAAAATGAGAAAAGCATTGAGATTAGTTTGAAATTTATTAATCAAGAAATAAGGTTAACATATAAAATGAATAACAAATTGGTCAGCGTATGTTACGTCTAGGATAAGATTGTATGAGAAGTAAAATGAAACGAACAGAGAGGTGTTTGTGAAGGATTCAAGATTGTAAATTTAAGGAGGCGTGTTGGAAATAAGTAAATATTACATCTTGAATATAAATGACTATCTCTCAATTCGCCATCTAGCGGTTAGCACGAGAGTGCGACAGTTTCTTTGTCTTAAGTTTATGTCTTCCGTTGCGGCGTATTACTCTCTTTTCTGTGTCGCCATGAAGTGCTCGTGCGTTGTCGAAATGTTAACCAAAGACTATTTCCAAATTTATTAATCAAACATTATTATAACATTAGTTAAGTTTATCTATTATTAATTATACTATCAAATAATCTACTTTTATAAAATATAATAAATAACCAACTATATTACGTAATCCACCACCTTTCATTCCAACAAAGATAACATAACGAAAGTTAAATTTATAATAAAAGCAACGACTCTAGAGTTCTAAAGAAACGTTACATTGCACATTCATTTAAAAAGTTGAATTTTCATTCATCTTTTATGCACGTTAAATGAACCTTATACATGAATTGTAGCATCAACTTTCATAAACGTTGAGGCTTTCGACAGAGAAAAAAAAAGAATGACTATTTTCTGTGTATGTGACGCAGTATTACATGCGGCAGGGTTGCGTGGCAGTGATGTCAACCACCTGGATAGCGAGCGTGGCAATTTTTGGCGCTCTCGTGCTTCCGAGGGGTGGTTACTACTTCAACGCTTCTGGACTTCTCGCCTGTGATCCTTTCTTTGCCAGGGCTTCCCTTAGGTATCTTTCAAAATCGCAGTAAATATAATCAAACGTGTCGTACATATGTTTGATATAATTTACTGCTTGTGCACTGGATACCAATGAATAAACGCTCTTCTTGGTTATATTCATCAACTGATAAATAATAAATTTTCTCAGTATTATATGTATATACATATGAACAATTATTACAGTACAATTTTTTTATATTCTAATTTCTAGAGATTATGTAAATATCCTTTAAACGGTATAAAGTATAAAATAGATGCAAATTTAAAAAACTGTCATATCTTTTTAATTGCGAATAATTCATGTTTTTCAATAGTTCCTTGTTTCCATTTCATTGTTGAATCTCGATTTTTCCCACTCGCTTCCAAATTGTATCTTATGTAAAAGCGAAAGATACGATTTATCGTATTCTTTTTTATTTCCAGGATTCTCGCATGCTGCTGTTTTTACTTCCCTACGACGATGGTGCTGATGTACTGCTACGGTTCAGCCTTTCACGTTAACAAACTGCGCCTGAAAAGGGTGGTTTGCGTTAACACGCCGGAGGTCGTTAGCGGAGGCCACATGGAGAGGGTAAGTCGAGTTTGGTGCCACTTGAATCTCCAATCAATGGGCTCAATTTAAATGGAGCTTAACCGATATCACAAAAACCCGCGATTGTTCGTTTACTCGTTCATTAAGTTGCTCGATCCTTACGCCGATGTAAACCATAATGAAGTGTCCTTATAATGAGACGATAAAATTTAAACGACGACGATTTATAGATAAAACGAAAGTGACAGTAATTCTTTCAACGATAACATTTATTTGAATGAATTATTTGGTGGAACCTCTATTGTATAAACTAATTGGGCGACAAATATGATCATATACACTGAAGTCCATAAATATCCGTACATATTTCAAAAATTGAATAACTTTTTTAATACTGAGCATAACGAATTAATTTTCTTTGGATGTTAGAGAGATTAGTTTACTATATGACGTATAACAAAAAATTAAATTGAATTGCTATGTCAGACTTAAGAAGAAAAAAATAACTGACACAATTTTTAAGTTTTTTATTCGACTCTTTAATAAAAATTTAAGACATGATTTTTGTAGATCAAAGGGCATTATATGCATGTACGAAGGTTCATTAAAATCGATTGACACTGTTATGACCCATAAATGATTAAAGAGCAATAAAATGCAAATTTTGACGATTTTCGACCTAAAATTTAAATAAATCGAGAAAACTCGATATGTCTCGATGCGTTCAACTTTTATCTCTAGACAGATTTGAATTGAACTTCTGTACGTGCATATAACATCTTTAGATCTAGTAAAATTAATCTATCATAATGATCTAGTTAAATTGGTATTAGAGAGTTGAATAAAAAAACTTAAAATTTGTGCTTTTATAATGTTTATGTATAAGAGAACGTTCAAATAATGGGTGTTTATTTTATATAATAGAGTGCTATTATATTTTCAATTTTATGAGAAAAAAGTAGATATGAATGAAGTTCTACAAGAATGAACCAATTAAATTCACTCTAGCGCTCAAGAACTTCTTGCATGGAAACTGTATAGTTACTTCATTTCATATAAATCCGTGAAAAGTGCTCTCCTCGGCAAATGCGCGACTGCCTTGTGAAACCTCTCTCGTGTGTATTTTTACGAATTCCGCATGCAGTTCTTCTTACTCGTCAAATCTTGAAGACAATATCGGCATCCTTAAACAGGTATATTTCCAGAAACAATGTTGAATTCTGTATTTTCAATTCTCGTTCAAAGCATTCAATTAAGATATATTATTTATTTACGTCATAAGAACATCGTGTCCGGGGTTTAAATAATCAATAGTTTCTGAAACGCATTTGATTTTGCCTTTCACTTGCTCTTTTACGTTTAGTAAAGGAACGAAAAAGATTTGTTAGAAATATTATTAGATATCTGATTATTTGTTCGTTTTCTCCTTAGTTGTACTTAAAATGTATACGAAGTACATTAGTCCGCGAGAGATAAGCACGCATTAATCACAGACCAATAAATCTGGGTTAATCGTTCCAATCTCTTAAATGAAGGCAAATCTCATCGACTATTGAGAAACTGCAAGTAGTAACTTCGTCCACTGATAAACCTTTACAATATTATTCTCTCTTTTTAATTTGTTATTTCTTTTACCATGATCCACAATTTACAATGTTCTAAGTTTTATATCATTCACGATGAAATATTGCTCATCACTGGCTGTGAAATATCGCCTTTTCTCCCAACATAACGTGCTGGTTTGAATTGAAATAGGAACGCGACTTTTCCACCTTTTATTTCAAACCCTTTCAAAAACAAATCGAAGCGAAAATGCTACTGTACCCTAACGCTATGTACATGAAATACTGTTCAAATAAATGTGTTCCACCTGTCAGAAAATTTTCAAATGTAATCGAGCGAACTCGGTTGAGAATATTGTGAAACTAACCATGCAACGACACGGAGTAGAAACAAATGCAATGAATGCAGTAAAATTAATGCGAGTAATTCTATTCTTTACAAAATGACGACGTGAATTATTCAGTACTGATGCATAGCCAAATGCTTGAATTGCAACAATCGAGGAGAATAGTCACAATCGATATACCATTATATTGAATATCGATATTCCTGATAACGCAGTATATGTATAGGTATGCATATACATAATACATTTCCTGAAGCGACACTTCTCTGTTATTTAATCATTTCTCTTTTTTGATGCATATAGTATTTCCTTCGCCACATTCTAGTTTCTGCAATCTGTCTCTAAGTAAAATAAAAGATAGTCATCATTACTTTGAAAAAAAACTCATAAACCGGAAATCGCTAATTCTACTTATTAATTTTATTTAGAATATCAAAGGAATAAAACAATGGTTTATCCATTATACAGAATAGCACGACTTGTTAGATTCAACATATTGTTTTTACCCATTTCCTGCGAAAGCATGAAGAGATTATAATTAAAAGTAGCATTCCTGCCTCATCATATCACTGTTCGACGTTTAATCGTACTATCGTACTAGGGCAGGAGTGTGTATACCGCTTCTTGTGTATTGAACTGTTTTATCGATTGTCAGAGTCGTCACTGTCTTGCATTTGTGTAAAATGTTGCGACGATTTCTTGCTGCCTTGTGTACAATAAGGGTGTGGATTCGCTTCAGCGTGCACTCTGAATAAACGAACACTGTTTTGTTCATGTCACTAACCATTATAACTTGTCATAGTGCTCAAATTACATCAATGAAGTAAACGTGAAGAGATGGGTTCCGTGTGTGAATTATAGCCGTTCTTTAACAGGTATTTTTCTACAATAAGACGTACAGCGTAGTACATGTATCGACGCAGACATAGACATTGATAACACCGTAACTATGTAAATTTTGCACATATATGACCGGCATCATATCATATCAACATATGGTCAGATTGATTAAAAAATTTTTTTAATAAAAACCGACATACAATAAAGGGTCACTGTCCTATGACTAGGGTCATTGGCCGATGCTACCTGTACAACAATGCGCGGCGTTAGATTATGAACGCCGGCGTCATTACATGTACATCTATATCAATATAAATTTGATGTCGTGGCGCGGTGTGAGTTCGAGGTAGAGTAAGAATTACGGTTCCGCAGATTTCTTGCATGCATACTACTAATTTAGATTTCATAAACGTTTATCAGTCGATTAAGAAAAGTCTTCTTTACGTATTTACACTACATATTGT